GATTTGCGCGTGAAGTGGGTTGAGGGGGTGATTTGCCACCAATTGTTGAGTTGAGGGGGTGATCTGCACCTTTTGCCAAGAAGAAATGTACCTAAACGTGACTTGACTCCAAGACCTAAGTGCTCCTTAAGTGACACTCTAATTATATTAAAATTAAAGATACAGCTTGCAATTAAAAGCTTAATTAAAATTAATTTTCAAATCAAGCAAGAAATTCTTTTTTTTGAAAATAGCTAATGGCTCAAGCAAGAAATTCAATATTGCTTAAACAAGTAATCCATTTGCAAATCAAATTAAATCAACATTATTTGCAACCAGAACATATCAAAACCAAAGTTTTGGAACCCAAAATTTTGGGTTCAAGGGTCTAGGTTCAGGTAAACACAAACCCAAATCTGGGTTTTGAAACATGAAGACGTCAGAGTAGAAAGGACCCACTCAAATTTTTTGTAGCCTTCAAATGTTAGGTTGGGTCCGACTGTTAGGGTTCACTAACACATAAACCCATATTTGGGTTTTTAAAGCATGGAGATGTCAACGAAGAAAGGACCTATTCAAATTCTTAGCCATAAATCTTGAATTTTTTGTAGTCTTTGAATGTTGGGTTTTCCCTTGTAAAACCATATATATATATATATATATATATCGGGAAAGTGGGTATCAGTCCTACCTCCCAAAAAAGAGTTGGAGTCCCAAACCAAACGACGTCGTTTTCCTCTAAAAGCACAGCCCTGTCGTTCGTCTTTTCTCTCAAAAATCCAGCCCCTGCTCCTCAATCATCTCCATCTCCTTCTTTGCCCCTTTTGCAATCATCTCCATCGCCTCCTCACCTCTTCACCCAAAAAGCTCACTAGTAATGTCGCCCCCTCTGCAATCATCTCCATCTTCCCCTCCAAAGTGCTGGCAGTACAATGGGGATGTTAAGAGGAAAAAACAAATTCAAAATTCAACATGAAACTGAACAAAACCGAGAGGCAAGACGAGCAACACAACATCAGAAACAATCAAAACCATCATTAATGAGCCCACACAAGAAAAACAAATTTAGTTCAAATCCCATTTGCAGTAATCTTTTCACAACACTAAAATTCAAATCGAAATTCATGTTCTTATAATGAAACAAACTTGAATTTCACATTAAACGCACAAGTATATTTCAATCCATAATCAAATGCGGCCAAGAAAACAACATAATAATAATAATAAAACTCATAAATTCAATTTGTGAATAGAACTCGAGAAAGGGAAAAGACGAGGAGCAGAACTCAAGCATCTTTGAAGACAACAAACCCAGATCTGGGTTTCCTCTATTGTAACTAAAATTGCAATTTCAATTCTCATCATTCAATTTCAACACTATTATAACCAAAATCACAGCAACCAAACTTGCAAAACCCAAATAAATTAGTTCGCAACTCCCTCAAGCTCGTGTGACAAAGGAACACAAATCT